ATTTCTATTAGTAGATATTGAGTTTTTTTTCATCATACATTATTTAAGTTACTTAGCGTGATCCATGCGTATACATGTTTTCTATAATTTTAGTAGTAAGTATTTGTTTTTGTTTAGTGCGTTCTCAATGATACTATGAAAATAGCTGTACTTACAACACATAATCATTGATAATTTATTTTTGTTAGAAATTTACACTCAACTATGATTGTGAATATGATTTATTTGTCATAACTTTACTGAGTGTACTCTTGTATATTCCGTTATAGAATCAATAGATAAGATTTTATTAATACTAGTCAGGTGTATATTGACTAGTTAATAGTAACAACGCAATATAAACTATTTCTTAACAGTGACTTAGTGGGGATGGAACATTCGACTTTCGATCACCAAGTCTCAAGATCGAAGCTCTTTCCACCTATTGTAGTTTCGGACGCCAAGGTAACATCATCAGCCCTCATAGCTGCACTGTAATTTAAAGCCAAGTACATGAATCTGTAAAAGATAAACAGGTTAAAGAAAATACGAGGAATAAATAGTCACGACACCTGCTACTTCTTAGTGATTAGTGGTAATATATCTGATTGTAAAAATACACGACCATAGTTCAAACAATATGAGAACACCATTTCCTATAAGCTTGTAGATATTATTTGCTGACAAATTTAAAGCTTCTACCTTTGAAGCGATTACCTCTTGACAGTATTCTGTGGTGATCAAACTACAGCAGAAATCTACTGAAGTCTAAATATATAGATTCTGATATAGTCAATCAGTTGGCAACCGGTCTACAAATAATAACTCCATTCTCGTGCATGGCGATGGATAAACACTGGATAAGAAGTTCCGAAGAAGGAAAAAAACAACTCTTTAATTATTCATATACTTTTATAATTAATTAGTCAACTTTCTTTTGTAAAAAAAATTTTTTTCTTCATAGCGTAATAAACTGGTATGAAATATTCAACATACAAATGAATTACTTTGTCATTCATCTTCAATACTATTAGTTTATTTTTATCTTTTCTTTATTAAAACAAAAAATTTTCATGATGTTTAATGAAATTTAATTCAGATAAATGTGAATGATTGGAAACAGTCTATCACATATAATATCTTATCATTAAATAGTCACTATTTCTCCATTATTACATAATATTTGATCCTGGAAGAAATAATCAATGAATATTTTTTTCAATAATTATTTATTTAGTCGTTGACCAGAAGTTCTAATTCCAATGTAAGACTTCTCTAGTTTCAATCATTTTCTTTTGTCTCTTCTATAAAACTTTCATGCATCAACATGATAATATACAAAAGCGGAACTCAGTATGAATGTCAATAAAAGCAAGTTGAAAAATAGATTTTAAAATAGTAATTTAATACTTTTCACTAATCCAAATATTTCAAGAAATATCATGCAAGAACAGGTTTATAAACATGTTGATATATTAGAAATATAATTCAAATAAAGCAGATATATATATATAACCTGACTGAATGCTTGATGTCCTGACTGAAAATCTAACGTTCATAATTGGTGTTCTAAATATCACCGCATTTTAAGCTACAGATTCCACTATTGTAAGTATTATCATTGTATGGAAATCAAGAAATATCGAGTTATTTGTTGAAGGATTTAATTTGTCAACAGAAAATGATGAATTTGCTTTTGAACATAGCAAATCGGAAGTTTGAACCTTTCGAACAATATTAAAGATATCTAGTAAAATTATATGATTTTTTTACCGGCGGAGATTTACTTAAGTACTTTTTTTTTTAGAAAGAATACAAAATTTAAACGATATGGATGTTTTTAAACCAAATGTCGATATAACATGGCATATCGATGTAAATCATTCAGCTTCACTGACTTGTTTTAAAGAAGACAGGGAACGGAATTATTTGAGATAATAATTCAGTGATAGTTTAGTTCATAGACTCTGCCTTGATGTAGGTAACCATTGAAAGTCTGAGAGGATTTGATAGTTGTGCTGTTTTAAAATGGTACTGCTAAAAAAAAATACAACTTCGTTCACCGTAGTAAGACTAATTCTTTTAGACCACTTTGAAATCTGATAAACGATAGAGATCTGAACCATTGGTATGATAATTACACTGAAACTAATGTTGTAAATGAATCAATAAAGTCAATACTCATTGACGTTTTTGTTATTAAATAGATAATGTCTAAAATTGCAATATTAATTAGTTAATGTTTGTTTTGTATATGATATGCGATAGTAGAATTGCTTTAAATAGTTCTTTTCATATTCATAAGAATATCATTTTCTTAGCAGCTAATTATTTTTAGTATATATAAACATATAATATCGAAGTACTGACCTCTTTGCCCCAGGTTGCTAAACTTCAGTCATACTAACACTAATCAGCTATCCAAGGTTATCTCAGATTTTCTTTGTTTATCATTACCAAGGAAATCTGAGGTACCCAAAAGACAGTTGTGATTTAATCATCTTAGAAAGAAATTATTCATACTGATTATGATACTAGAGGTCATAACATTGACCTTAAAGTTAACAGAAAATATAAAAACTAAGTTACAGATATGTTTTATAGCAATCAAAATCACTATATTTTGTTACTTTCTAACCTTCATGACTCACCATACCAGACGGGTGAGTTTCACGTTATTGCATACTATGGTTGAAACCAGCATGGTTTTGTTGTAACAGCTTAACTTATAGCACTTGTTCAGTATTGCCTAATTATGTACTTCAAAGGTCATTTACATGACTGACTTAAGTCAACGGAAAGTAGGGAAGTCCTAGTTAGCTTGTTTTTCTACACTGGGGTTCTCCAAAAGCATACACTTGCTCACTTCCACATGATGTCCTGTTCAAAACCTTGAGGGTTTGGGAGAAAAGAATATATTTTGACCACTGAGCATAAATTTATTAGTCCACGACCTGAATTTAGCCAACTTATGCAACCGTATAATTCTGATCCGATATTATTGGTGACGAAATGCTTTCCTTTTAGCTCAGTTCACTCTAAAAATAATACTAGTTCGTATATAAGCAGTTCCAATACAGAAACCGAATTTTCTGACCTAGTTTTTAAATTTTGAAGATAATTCTTCCTCACTGCGAAACCTAGCTCTGTCCAATTTTTGTTCAATCTTCTCATGTTTTTTTCTATTTCTGTTGGACTTGAGGATTCAAGCTGAGAGCCTGTCTTGTGACGCAGTTAGATGCTTTCTGCAGTGTGTGTCCTATCCACTTCCAGCGATTTTCCCTGATTTCTTCCTCCACTGGTCGTTTTCCATGACATTTGTTGTTGCATGTGCGATAGAAGGGCTAGATCGTCTGCGAAGTCCAGATCGTCCAGCTCCATCCTAGTTATCGATTGTATCTCGTGCTTTCCTGTATATGTTGACGTCTCCATAATCCAGTCGATCATCAGGAGAAGGAGAAAGGGTGAGAGTAAGCAACCTTGCCTGACACCGGTCCTCACCTCGAACGAGTCTGTCAGCTGTCCTTCATGCACGATTTTGAAGTTTCATCCATCGTAAGAATTCCGTATGATGTTGACTATGTTCTCAGGCATGCAGTAGTGTCAAAGAAGCCTCCATAGTGTCGTCCTGTCCATGCTGTAAAATACTTTGTCGTAGTCAATGAAGTTGATGTATAGTGGTGAGTTCCATTCAACTAATTGTTCCATAATAACCCGTAGTGTTGCGATGTGGTCGTTATACGATCGATCCTTACGAAATCCAGCCTGTTGATCTCGAAGTTGGGTGCCTACGAAATCCTTCATTCTGTTTACCAATACCCTGTTGAAGAGTTTGCCTGGTATTAAAAGAAGAGTGATGCCTCTGTAGTTCTCACACTTGCTGAGATCGCCTTTCTTTGGTATTTTGATCAGGTATGCTTGTTTCCAATCTGATGGTACTTGTTCCTCATCACAAATCTTCTTGAAGAGAATGTGAAGTATTTTTGCAGTTGCTGCCACACCATGCTTTCATTGCCTCTGCTGGAATGTTATCTTGTCCCGCTGCTTTGCCACTCTTGATTTTTCTGGTGTCCATACTGATCTCTTCAATTGTTGGTGGGTCAACATTAATTGGGAGGTCCGTGGACGCCACTTCGATGTTGGGTGTGTTCAGTGGAGCTGGTCGATTCGAAAGTTCCTTTAAGTTCTCTACCCACCTATTTCTCTGTTCTTCAGTGTTGCTGATTACTTTGCCTTCCTTGCTATTCACTGGTTGTTCTGGTTTACTACAGTTTCCAGCAAGCTTCTTTAGTGTATAGTACAATTGTCTCCAGTTTCATTCTCTTTTTACCTTTTCCGCCGTCATTGCTAGATCTTCCACATATTTCCGATTGTCAGCTCTTATGTTAGTCTTTACTCGCTTGTTTGCTTCTGTGTATTCAGCATGTGCCTTGGCTATTTCTGCTCTTGTTCCATTGATGTTGATTGCTGCCATCCTCTTCCTATTTTCTTAAATTTTATCAAGAATACCAACAGAGATCTATTCCTTGTGATGGTGTTTCTTGTGGTCCAGGACCTCCTGATACGTTTAAGTGATTGCCTCCTTGATCCCTTTCTAATTGTTCTCCAAGGTTGTTTCCTTTCCATTGAGTAGAGCGTGTAAGGCCTGGAACCTATTGCTAAGGGCTATCTGAATACGTTGTGTAAATTGTCAGTATCCTGAAGAAAGGCTTCGACCTCGTGACTTCCGAAGAAACTCGGCGTTCATCATGGGACGTCATAACTCTTTTGAATGAAGACCTTCTAACTCCCAGGGCAGAGGTAAAAGGGTTTGAACTAGTTTTTCTGGTTAGTGTTTTATCAGCGAGTTAGTTTTCTATGGGACGGGGTCGCTAACAGCATGACCAACCCTCCTCCTTTATCCGGGCTCGGGACTGGCAGTAGACTTAGAGGGGATCCAGGCGGAGTTACAAAACTAATTCACTTAACTTTTATATAAACCGTCATATCATTCTAATTTTTATTTTACGATTTCATTTCAGAACATATTCAAATCATTCATAATTCCAGTTCTCCTCAAATTTATGTGTCAGGTTTATATGAGAATAGTCTTACGGATTCAAAACGTACGGAAGAAACAGTACAATCAGACTTTCATAAAGCATATTCAAATGAACATCATGATCATCAAACTTTCAGATCAATAAATCGCTTAATAAATGTTAGAGATGAAACGAAAACAGTTAAGCCATATGAAAGTCATTCAGAAAATTTCTATGACAATGAATTAGATGAATATAGCCGAATAAATAAAGTGCCAGGTAATATTAAAAATCAATCAACAATAGGAGCAATGCCATCAACAATTCTTGCTAAATCTCCATTTATTATAGAAGATCGCTCAAGGTATATAGATAAAAATCACAATACATCACTGTTACAAGAAAAGGAATCATCAACTAATACAGTTTTATATGAGACAATTAAACAACCTACATCACATCATTATTATCAACCAATAAAAGCTGATCAAGATGATATTCAACTGGCATCACAAAGAAAAAGTCGTATTTTACAAGGCGATGGTGACAGTCTAGATGATTTAGTTCATAATTCTACTAAACTCATACCAGGACCAATTTTACCTGAAAAAGTGTTTATAGACAATCAAATCATCAATAATTTAAGTGTAACTGAAAGCTATCGACAAAACATCCCCGAAGTAAAAGAAATAACTGAAGAGCGAAATTATGAACCAATTTATAATAGTCCATCATATAAATCCGTGATAATAAAAGATGAAACTCATAAACCTGTAATTAAATCGGACGAATCGGTTAATGAATTTAGTGAGAATAAATGTTGTTTACCATCACCTTCAAATTTTAATGTACGTTTGGATCTGAAGAGTGAAGAGCTACGCAAAGTGGGTGAAATTAAAGACCCCATTAAGTTACCTGATACTCCGATCTTTAAAAAAGACTTAATAAGTAAACACAGAAAAACCAGTCCAAGTCCCCCAAGGAACCGTCATATTCTATCATCCAGTACAGTCACATCTAAACCACCAACTCATTATATTTCACGTACAAAATGGCACTTAAAACCAATACCCACGGACGATGAGATACGTGAACGTTTGAGGAGTTCTAGTCGCAAAAGACAAGAAGAACGTCAGTCCCGTTCTCCACAAAATCCTCAGCCTTCAACTTATCGTCCACGTAGTTCAAGATCAGAGTCACGTTATCGTTTCACGGATCTAGATTCAGCTATAGCTGAGTCGAGAGCTGATACAAACGACACTACATATCAGTTAAATACTGATAGTGAACCACATTCAGAAGCAAGGCAGTCTGCCTCGTTGTTTGATTTGGATGCTCACATTCAAAAATCAAAATCACCAACCATACCATCTTATCAACATTCTTCTGGTGCATATAACATTCAAAATGAAACAAATAAATTACTATCGAGGAAATTTTTTGGTGATACTAAATCGTATAGTTCTCTGTTAGAGACAGATATCGATACTGGTGAAAATTTCAAACGACCTGTTATTTTGGAAACTGACTTAGATAAATTAAATACTCAAATTAATGATGGATCTTTTGATGCTGCATTAATTGACACATATCAAGATCGAACGCGTAGTTTGTACAATCTCACTTTCACACGTACTCCTGGAGCGTTCCGTCGACAAAAATCGAATGAATTTGGTGAAAACACAGTACAAACTAGTGGAATTGAACTAATACAGTCACCAAATGATCAATGGCATAAAGCTAAAAGTTATCAAGGTCTTGTTAATAATGAAGAATCTGATCAACAAAAAATACCACCTCAATATGAGGTAGCAAGATATAAAAAGAAAACAAATGGTGGTGCACAAGGTTTAATTGATCGATTAAAAGAGAAAGCACGTTCAACACATGAATTAAGAATAGCTCAATCATTAACAAAATTACATATTCCTGAATGGTTAGACAAAGCAAATTGTTTACAGAACACATCTGATTTAATACCAACTAATACAATGAAAGAATATCATACAAATGAGAGTAGGCTACAATTAGAACAGACAACTCAAAAACATTTTCCCAGTCCATCGTATACACCACGTACAAATAAGGCACTGATTTCATCACTTCGATCTTTATCGAGTGTTTCCAAACCTGGTGATAATTCACTTACAAATATATCAAATTTATCACAAAAAACAATTGAAACAATAGCTGAACCAGTATGGCCAAAATCAGGAAGTTTAAATTCACCGAATTTTATTAGACCTAGTCAATTAATTAAACAAAAATCTGGACAAACTAGTAATTATCTACGTCCTATTCAATCAAAATTAAATAATTCAATGCGTTCATTAAGTGCACAACGATATAAATCAACTGAACTACAAGATATTCGACCACAAGTTGCTCCAAGACATAATTATACTAGAGGACAAGGTAAATTAATTGAACTAAATCCACAAGATTTTATACCAAAATATGAACAAAGATGGTGTAAAGAAAAATTGAATAGATTTAATCGAGCAACTACTGAACCACCAGAAAAATATGATGCTAATAAATCAACATTATATTTAGACAGTAATTCAAAATCAGATATAAAAAATCAGTGTGATTCAACCAAAAACATTAATTTGATTTCATCACCGAATATTAGAACTCAGAAATGTGATACTTATTCAAAGCCTACTATATCATTATCTGATATAAAAGATGTTGATCATGATTCAGGAACAGAAAATTCAAATGAACATCAGAAAATTTCTTTTGAAGAGGATAGAAAAAAATATGACATGAAATATGAAAATGTTACTACTACTAATATCTCAGTAAAACCGAAACAATATCTAAATCAAAACAATCTTGAAGTGAAACAGTTCACCCAAAAGAATGCTGGTAGTATTGAAAATTGTCTTAGTTTAGATGATTCGGAAAGTAAAGAGTCTTCACAAATGATAAATATACCAGATAAAATTTCATATAATGAATTATCTTCGGCAGATGTAGATGGTGAAACTGAATCTGAAGTTACAGATGGGTTTGATCAGTTATCTGATTTAACTTGTCTCACTTCATTGCTCGATACATGTTCATCAAGACATCGCAGTCTTCTTGCAAATAGGCCATCAGCACTTGAACACTTATTAATAAGTGTTGGCTGGTGGCCTGTGTATCCAGAGGCTGAACATCGCTATCTTCCTCCTACTGCGGCCGAAGCCATTTCTATTGCAGCTCACGAGTTTGACATTAAAGAGGATTCTCATCGTCATGAATTTTTACAACTAATTTCTGGACCAGACAGTTATAAGCCATTAAATTTAGGAGAATTCGGATTAAATCAGCTGTCTGGTGCGATGACACGTCATCCAGTTGATGGTTTACTATACATAAGTTGTGGTAACTTTTCATGCTCGACAAAACCCGTACCAGTGTCTCAAGCTAATAAATGGTATGCATGTGCTAACTGTTTTACGCTATATTGTTCAAATAAATGTCGAGAAGAGTGTGAAAGTAATCCCAGTGATCATCCTTCAAATTGTTCATTTTCTAGAGCTAAACGTGTTTGTGGTCGTCTGTTGAGAAATCTTGCTCCAGGTCAGATTACAGGTCTTACAGCTCTTGCTAAAACTGGAATGGCTCGTCTTGGAAGAGGTGGTATACTTCTATCGTTTTCATTAATTAAACATGCTGAAATATTTTTACAACGATCATTAGAACATTCATTTGTAAATGAAGAACTAGATGATACTTCTATAGAAAAAGCGCTTCATCACTGGGAAAGGTTTCATCAACCAAGTCCAGGAGGTTTAATGGCTCCTCCTACATATCTTACGCTTAATGAGCTGGAAGAATTAGATTCAAGTATTGCTAATCCATGCAGATCATACAATCCTTCTTCAAGTATGGTTCTAATCGTAGTTGTATGTGCATATGAGTTGATTGCTCGAGCAGATGGTCGGCCAGTGCATTTGTTTAAGCAAAGTTTAACATTACCATTTCCTTCTCATTCAAATGTAAGAAGTAAAAATGAAGTTACTAATATACAAAATACACAACTTACTGAAAAGCCTACAATACCACATGTAAATGGTGCCACAGTCAAAATGGATAAACAAGCAACAGCAGCTAGAGAAGCCTACATGCTTCGTTTACAACGTATGCTTCGTGAACGAGGTGTTAGTTTAAGACATCATTATCCAGAAATTTATACAAGAATAGCAAATTTTGTTGAAACTGGCATACCATTCAGTGTGATACGAATCACATTCGATGATTTTATTTTACAACAACAAGTTAATTGTATAATTCAACCAATGAAAGATTTGTATATAGAACCAGTCAATAGTAATAATAATAATAATAACAGTAATCATTATTTAAATGAAACAGAAATTAATAAATCTTCAACTAATAACATACAATCAAAACATGTAAAAAGTTGCAAACCAAATGATATTGTTTCAGTGAATCGAAAAAAAATAAATGAAACCAATTTCTAGTATTCTTCTTTTGTGTGTGTGTGTTTTTTTTTTGTTTAAACAATTGAAGAATACTGATTCGTTTGTTTCTACTTTCGGATGAACAAAATAAAATGTTCATTTTTGAATTTCTATTTTTTAGTTGTCTTATTTAAATATGTGTATTTTGAAGCAAAAGCCTTATGTCAGAACCAGTTCAAATTATTTCATGCTCACTTCCATATATATATATATATATATATATATATATATATATATATATATATATATATATATATATAACTAGTGTGAACAATAATATGATTATATTGTATGTTGAATCAATTCAAACAAACATAAATCTGCTTTAATTAAATGATCAAATTTTTTAACAATCAAAATTGAATTATTTTACAGACAAATGTTTTGATCAATTTATTAATTTATTTTTTTTTGTTAATTTCTTTTTTAAACGTAGAACAAACTACTTACGTACTTCCTTTTTTCTCTTCATTTATTACTTCTCTCCGGAAGTTGATTGACTACAACAATTCTTGTTCATATTTCAATACGGAACGTTGATTGTTTTTTGTATGTACCGTTTTCTTTTTTTAAACAATTCACTTAGTGCTTCCATTTCAATGAATCATATATTATAAAATTTCATTCAATTCAATATAATATCCGAATAATATATTACTGTTTTATGTTTTCTTATCAATACTTCTTACCCTCTTTTTTCTCAAAACCATATAAATTTCACAACGAACAATTCAAAATAACATTTACTAACAAATGTAAATAATGTAGAGTATGATATACAAAAAAAGGAATAAGTAACATTTGATTGATCTTGAAAAGATCAGGAAAAAATCAATTAATTTTACATATTATAATCGGACATGATTTTCTTATCCAAAACTTCCATCATGAGCAGTAAATTCAAATTCAAAGGAAAAACATTTTGTTTTTAATTAAATGTCCAATGGTTGTTTCGTTTTGTATTTTATGCTGCTAATTTTGCACTTGTTTATTTTTTAACCTCAATATTTTACATTTCACTGCCTAAATGTTGTTTTTTTTTGTTAATTTCTAAAATAATTTTCTTTTACAAATTTTAATTTATCTATTAGTATTCTCACAGTTTTCTACTTGTATATCTATGAACATATTTCTATGTATTTGTGTCTGTGTAAATAGGTATGAACTTTTTTTGCGTGTGTGTGTGTGTGTCTATAATTACAAAATTTTGTGCACAATATTGTGAAGAAGATATGTATAGATTAACTTTGGACAATTTTCTTAACAAAGTGTTTTTTTTCGAATCTTTAAGAAAATGAAAAAATTGCATATCTAAGGAAGATTGTTGAAAAAGAAAAAAAGTAACCAGAGAAGAGTGTAATTAGAATCAAGATAATGTAGGAAAAACAATTTTTTCGTATGTCCCTTTGTTTCCGCCTTCTTATGACTAAAAAATCATAGAAATCTAATCAACTTGTGTTCACATTATCTTTTTTCATAAAATACGAACTGTAATGAAAAATCAAGTGACTTTCATTATTTTTTTTTTTTTGAATAATTATTTACGTGAAAAGTATGTACTGCATGAAATTCGAATAGTTTGTTATTAGTTGAAAGGAGTTTAAATTATGTTAATTAAAAGTAATTTAGTTGTGGCTTAAAACAACCACCAAAAGCAGCAATAAATTCAATATCCTTAGGTAATATACTATTTAATTATTTATTATTAACTCTTCACTTTCTGATTTTAATATACGTTAAGTTGAGGTCTAAATTTTCTTAAATAAATTTCTATCACCAGAAGTGAGTGAACAACTGTTCAAATCTGATAGACCGCAACTATATGACTATCACTTCTGTTTGACTTAATGCTTAATTGGAAATATGCTATATAAATCATCCAGGTTTATTTGATACAGTCGAGGGATTGTTGATATAAGAGATAAAAGACTAGAATACAATCACAATAAAAATGTATGGACGTTACTTAATGCGGCTGCTTGTAGGTGTTCGGTTGCGTTTGGTACCGAAAATCCACAATTATAGGAGATTAGTAATCCCAGTGATATATTCCGTCATTGAATAGGATACGAATATGGCTTTAGTCTAGAAATGTAGATAATGTATGCATTAGGATCCAGATAACACATTAATGAGCAATGGAGAACACGGAATATGTGTATAAAAAGTATTTGTTGGGAGAAGATAGCGTATGTCGTGCTATGTGTACAACAGAACGGAAAAAGGTGAGTAGTCCACGCTATTCCTTTTTTTCCAAGGTCACACACTTAAACAACATGTACAATCATTTTATAGTAAATGTACAAGCAGTGAAAAATTGACAGAATAAATACAAAATAAGTTTGTCATACCTATCTCCACAGGTCATCGAAAATAAGAGGATTTCAATAGTTAGTTACTACACCAATTAAGTGCTTCGAAAAATGCTTGACTTAACATTAAGAGCTATTTCAAGGTCAATATTTGAGCAGTTTTTATTTTGTGATTCGATTCAAAATAACTTGGAAATTGTGCAATGAGCAATTGATCCGATATAGTATAAGTTGTGTTTGTATCTTGCCAGAATAAATGAGTTATAAACTAGTTAAAATGCTTCATATTATTAGGGATGATATTTTAACTACTGTTTAATTGTGCATTCTAGAGGTTAATTATAATAGAACAAACTAATTGCATGGTGTCAAAACAAGATGCCACTATGAAGTCATAGATTAGTTAAGACCTTAGTAAATTACAGACTTTAAATACGAAGAGGAATATAATATAACTTCTTGATAAACAAATTAATTCACTTCACGCTGAAAGCATATTTCTCAATTTAGCTAAATTTTAAGTACTTTGATCTAACAAATAAATTCCTCTCCTCTCCTCACTGTCAGTGGTAAACAGCTAAGAAATAGTTTGTTGTTAGCGTTAGATAGTGTCCACAGGTTTAATTTTCAATAAATGAAACTTAAATTTATTAATATGTGTTTAAATAACATTATTTTATCTCGTTTACAAGTTTAATGTGCGAAATGATGTTCATTAAGAACTTGAGTGTTGACTATTTCAGAATAAAACCAAAACATATTTGAACCAGACAGCATCTCAGCTTCATTTTAGCCTTGTGAAAAGTAACGATGTAGAATATTCAGTTAATATATAATTATTATTACATCACTAAATGAGTGAACATTAAGTCAGTATCAATATTTTAACAATTAGTGCTCAAGAAAACCAAGTCACCTTCATTTACACATTGGTTATATCATGATGTATTCAGGAGAAATGTTATGAAACAACCATTCTAAAAATTGTTTTGAAAATTTATCATTTCACTCAGATATTTTGCTTTGATGAGAGTGAAAACGAAGTCAGTTTGCAAATTAGTTTAACGATAGTCAGAAAATTTTGACACAAATCTATTCTCCTCTAGTGTTTACAAATTCCATGTCCTAGCTTCATGACAATAAATTTAATTGGTTAAATAAATAGATCGAAGAGGCGCCTTTATGGTTTTTAAAATTATTTCTTCCATTATTGTTACTTTATTTAGATTTGCCTTTAAAGTTAACCAAAAATACTGTAAATAAAACAAAAAGACTATTTCTCACCTGCTTACCAGGTGTGTACAGTTCTATCATATTTTGTTGAATCTAATTATTTTAATAAAATGATTGTTTTCTTTCGACCATAGCACTAGTCTTTCATGACAGAAATTCTGCTCATCTACAAAATAAAAGGTCTTTTTATTTTAGCATAGTATATCAAACAAGATATGGTTAAGTAAACAAAAAACATATCTATCTCGCTAGGTGAATGTTTGCGATCTCATTAATGAACTTTCTTATTTACCCATCACCTCGAACTTAAGTTATCATTATAAATTTATTTATTAATCATTCTACGATCACGTAATACACTAGAAATGTGAAGACGCTTTAGTAAAACGTTTACAACCTACTAGTTTTTTTCTACCTCCATAAGTTATGTTTCACATATGCATAAATGGACCGCAATAGCCGAAAAAAACTTCCTTGATTCGATAAATTTTGAACGATCTTTCTGTTTCCATCTCAGATATTGATCGTCTAACGCTAACGAGACTTTTAAGAAATCCGAAGTGATCAATGAATTCAACTAATCCACTTCCTATTATACTCTGAGGCGGAATTCTTCGTTTAAGTGAAGAAAACTTATTTTGTAATTATTTAACATTAATATCACTAAACAGAATTGTTAACCAAATACTATGAATCAATGATTCTCTAGTTAACAATCTTCTAATCACGAAATACGATTAGAGTTAAGCTTTAGAGAATGTTCTGATGATCAATCACCTGCCTAAGGGTAACAACATCAAGGCTGGAATAAGCTTTGATTTCTCAGGTTTGCACTTTCGAAATTCCGGTTAATGGTCAAATGCTTAAGAAAGCTAGAATCACATACAATAGGAAAAGAATCACAACACAACAATTCTTAGTTTTCGTTACGTTCTTTCTTATCTGTAACATGCGATTAGCTTTGATTTTGGATGCATGACATTCTCTTATAATAATTTGTCAAATTATACATGATTTATTTACTTTTATTTATATTTAAGTAAACAACTGGTAAAAACTTGGAAAGTGAAGTTAAGTGGTATATATATATATTATATTATTAAGATAGAATCATGTGAGATCGCTTATTGATTGACCGTTACTCTCTTGCATTAATATGTACATAGTGTATCGGTTTTGTTAAACGATAAACAATGCTAATAGATCCGTATATAATAAATGAAAAGATTCGAATTTTACTGTTTGTCAAACAAATCTTCCTAACATATGTACTTGGGTATATGATGAAAAGAGAGTGAGTTCGATTATCAAAATGTTAATAGAGTTGTCATTCAGATTTCAGGACACATTACAAATAGATTATAAAGAATATACAAAGTTGAAAGGAATCAAGATGAAATTCACTGAAAACCAAACATAAACGAAAAAGTTGAGCAAGTGAGCAGGAAGTAAGTA